TTTTAAGGACGTAACTTGGGTAAGGTTGGTTACGACACTTATGTGCGAGGTAGGGGCACATAAGATACTAATTTAGAATTAGTTTTTCATAATAATCTAGATCCTAGATAATGTCCAATTCACTAGTGAGTTGTTTTAACACATTTTTCCTGTATTCGTTCGTAATAATATTAGATATTAAATTTTCCCGTGACACTATTAATAATTCGAGGTGTTGTGTTTCCGATCTATAGTGCTCTGGTTTGGTGGCTTCCTTCGAGCGGTCCTTCGCGCGAATGGGTTTTCCTTCGGATGGTTCTTCCATTGGGTGCTCTTTATGCAAAAAAAAAAAAAAAAATGCTAGTATTTCCTTCGGGCGCTCTTCCTTCGGTGGATCTTCCTGCGGATGTTCTTTCTTCAAAAAAATGTGGGTGGTTATTCCTTCGGGTGTTCTTCCTGCAACACAAAAAAAAAGTGGGTGGATCTTCCTGCGGGTTCTCTTCCTTCGGGTGGATCTTACTTCAGTGGATCTTCCTGCGGGTGGTTTTCCTTCAGGTGTTCATCCTGTGGGTGGATCTTTCTTCCTGAAACACAAAAAGTGGGTGGATCTTCCTGCGGGTGTTCTTCCTTCGGGTGGATTTTACTTCGGTGAATCTTCCCGCGGGTGGTTTTCCTTCGGGTGTTCTTCCTGTGGGTAGAACTTCCTTCAGGTGTTCTTTCTTCGGGTGAATCTTCGGTGGATTTTCCCGTGGGTGGTTTTCCTGCAGGTGTTCTTCCTGCAAAACCAAAAAAAAAAAAAATGGGTGGATCTTCCTGCGGGTGCTCTTCCTTCGGGTGGATCTTACTTCAGTGGATCTTCCTGCGGGTGGTTTTCCTTCAGGTGTTCATCCTGTGGGCAGAACTTCCTTTAGGTGTTCTTCCTTCGGGTGAATCTTACTTCGGTGGATTTTTCCGTGGGTGGTTTCCTGCGGGTGTTCTTTCTGCAAAACAAAAAAAAAAAAAAAAAAAACCAAATAAAATAAAAACGAAAATGAAAAAAATTAGTATAGCCAATCTAGACAGGTAGCATCCCATGATAGAATGCAGTGCAATTACGCACATGTGATTTCAGCCGTTTAGATGAACTTATCGTTGTTTAATAATTAATTTTTTTATTTATTTTTGTAATAGTTTAAATGTGAAACGAAGGAGTTACGGTATCATATCGAAAGTGCCCAAAATCAGAAATAATGCTAAGTAGATTAAAATTGGTTTATTCGTGATT